GGTGGCAGACCGGAAGGGAGCACTGGGTCACCTCCTCTCTCCAGCCTGCGGGGCTGCGGCAGGATCCCTTGCGTGCCAGGCCAGCCCCACTGAGCAGGTAGGGCGGGCGGCCCTTCGGGGAACATCCAGCCCCTTCCCACCTGCCGGCTCATCAGACGCCTCCCCAGGCTGCCAAGTGGGAAGCCGGTGATGTCATCGCCCAGCCCCAACAATCAGGCCTTTCATGGCTGGACGATAACAATCAAAACAGTATGTCAGGGCCTGCCACGCAAGAACGCACACGCTCGTCCTCAGGGAGGATCTGAAGGCGGTGAGCGGGGCCGCCAGGAGCGCGCCGTCTCCTTCCGAGATCCCCCGGCCCGAGAACATAGCCCGGAGAGCAGGCCTGCGCGCGCATGGGCGCTCACTCACCAGTTCTCTGAGAAACCAGGATGCTGTCCAGCACCTCCCCCGGGACTCCTCACCTCCGACCCCAGAACTAACCCCAGAACTAACTCTGCACGGAGCAATACTCCGCGGCTGGGGTTCGAGCAGGAGTGTCTCGTTGCACAACTCCAGGGGGCGCTGTTCGCCGACAGAACGTGCAAGGTGCCCAGAGTGCGCAGCCCTGGGGTTCTGAGGCTGCTGCCTTCAGAGTGAGGGAGCAGGCTGTTGTGTTGACCTTGACCCCCAGGACTCGGTCTTGCCACAGCCAAGCTCCCTGGCCGGCCCAGCTCCACGGAGCCTAGAGATTCTCGGTGAGATGCATGAGCGCGATGTTTTCCTTGCCCGGAGGGAAGTTTCTGGTGTTCAGATGTTTGCCCAGGAAGCAAAGTCACCTACACTGTTGCTTAGTCTGGCGGGTGGTTCTCAGCCAGGGACGGTTGGACCCCAGGAGACCTTGTGGGTCATGTCCGCTGGAAGGAGGCTACCGGCATCTAGTGGGTGGAGCCAGGGATGCTGCTAATGGTCCTGCCGTGCAGTGGGCAGGCCCCACGACAGAGTGGCCGGGCCAGAATGCCAGGAGTGCCAGGTGGAGAGGCCCTGCGTAGGGGAGATGCCCAGCCCCGTTGGCCCTGGGGCCTCTGGTTCCCATTCTCTCCTCCGGCTCTCCTGTGCCCCAGGGGGCCAGGCCCTCCGCTCAGTGAGCGGGCCTAAGGCAGTGCTGCCTGTCCGCGGGGGATGGGAGCCCAGGTAACGTCTCCTTAGGACTGTGTGATGGCTCTGTGTGAAGTCTGGAGGAACTGAAGCGTAGAGAGTCGTGGTTAAGAGTGCCCACGGTCACTTCGTGGCTGGGTGACCACGTAACCTCCCCGTGCATCACCTTTCCCATCTGTAAAATGGGGGTGATAGTGGCAGAAAACACGAAGGGGTGCAGGAGGGGGCCAAGCTTGTCGCCACACATAACGTGGGTAGGACATTCATTTTTTCTTCTTCTTTTTTTTTAAATATATATTTTCTTGATTTTTACAGAGAGGAAGGGAGAGGGATAGAGAGTTAGAAACATCGATCAGCTGCCTCCTGCAACACCCCACTGGGGATGTGCCCGCAACCAAGGCACATGCCCCTGACCGGAATCAAATCTGGGACCCTTCAGTCCACAGGCTCTCTCTCCATCCACTGAGCCAAACTGGTCAGGGCGGTAGGACCTTCTTTACAAGCATCTGCGTAGCTTCCAGGATCGTGCGAACATCCTCTGTGGCAAATTAGAATTCTGGCCCAGGGTCGCCTCTGCCATGTCCCGGGCTCCTGGGTGCTCCCAGGGGTGACCAAGTCATCCAGTGGGCCCGGGACTTTCCGGGGCTCACCACTGAATGCCCAGTGTCCCGGGCAAACCTGGGCAGTTGGGCACCCCAGTTCCCATCACAAAACTCAAGCAGCACTCGGGGACTTTTAAGTTTATTTCCTGGGGTGGCAGGGAAGGGGTCCTGAGTCGGGGCAGGTGCAGCACCATCCGCATCCTCACCCCTTGGTGACCGCTTCGGTCCCTGGTGACTGGAGTGTGTAGCCAGGGCTGGGAGCTTTGGGTTTAATTCATGGTCCGGAGTTGATGCCAGTGGGATGGGGCACAGAGGGTGTGGGGGGACTGAGCCTTTCCAGGGGGTCACCCCTAACAGATGCACAGCATGGAGCAGAGCAAGGGGCCCCGGTGAGTGTGTGTGTGAGTGTGTGTGTGTGTGTGTGTGTGTGTGTGTGTCTATGTATGTATGCGTGTATGTTAAGGGATATCTATGAAGGTGGAGAGGATGGAAAAGCCATGGTCTAGCCCTCGCTGTCACGAGTGGTGGAGCCAGGAGCCCCCAGAAAAGAGTCCATGACCACCCAGTGAGACAGCACCCTCAGAGCGGCCTGGCAGCATCCCAAGGGCGCACCCTGGCTGGGCTGTGCGCCCCATGCCGGCGCTGGGGCAGGGCAGGGCAACCAGGCATGCCCGGGACAGAAGAATGGCGTTTCTGTGCTGCTTATCAGGACAGTGGCTCCGGCAGGATGTGGCGAGGCTTCCCCAGCCCGCCGGGCGGACGGCCGCAGCCAGCGCCCCATCATGGCGAGGACTTTGGCCGGGGAGCCCCACCTTGACTTGCTGGTGACATTGGGCTGGCGGCTCTCCAAGGTCAGGCTGTGGTAAGTCATGAGGACATGAAGGCAGGTGACGGCCATGGACAGTGAGCCACCAAGTGCTCTTTCCACACGACGACGACGAGGCCCCAGATCTGGTCGGACCCCTTGACCTTGCTCATGGGAAGACCCTCATGGGGTCGTGGGTCCCATCTGGTCAGATCTTTGTGCAGCTGCTGAGATATGAGGGCAGAGACCAGCAACCACGGCCTGCGGGCCTACTCCGCCCACCACCTGGTTTTGTAAATAAAGTTTTATTGGGACACAGCCCCACTCGCTCACTTACATACTGGCTGCTCTCCCACTGCAAAGGCAGAGCTGAGTAGTAGCCACAGACACCTGGTGGCCCTCAGAGCCTAAAATACTCAGTCGTTTCCTGTGAGGTGGCTCATGGGTCGTGGGGGAAGTCAGAGCCTGCCTGAGCCTCTCCTCCCTCAGAAATAAATGGAGAGAGCCCGGATTGTGTGGCTCAGTGGTTGAGCATCAACCTGTGAACCAGGAAGTCACGGTTCAATCCCTGGTCAGGACACACGCCCGGGTTGTGGACTTGATCCCCAATGTGGAGCCTGTAGGAGGCAGCCCATCAATGATTCTCTCTCATCATTGGTGTTTCTCTCTCTCTCCCCCACCCCTTCTTCTCTGAAATCGATAACAATATATTTAAGAATAAAGAGAAGAAGTAAACAGAGAGAGCTGCCTGAGATAAGGGGGGCGGGATCCAAGGGAGCCCAGGGGAGAGGCCAGCAGACGGCGCCATAGCCAGGGCCCTTCTGGGACATGCCGTGGACCACACGGTCAGGTGTCCTCAGGGCGTGACCTGCCGTCCCCAGGACACCAGACGTTTTCTTTTTTAGAGAACGAGTACTAACTGCAGACGCCATCACTCTGATGGGTGGGTGTTGAGGGGAAGCTGAGGCTGTCAGCAGGAGACGGGATGAGAGTTCGTTTGAACGGCGTGCGAGCTCTGTGTTTATCAGGCCAAGGCTCTGCGAGGGCCAGTCTTCCCTCAGTGTCTCCTCGCCTGGCGGGCGGCCCCCAGGTCAGAGAGTCTCTTAGGAAAACGTTGACCCCAGAGTCTCTCTCTGTGTGTGTGTGTGTGTGTGTGTGTGTGTGTGTGTCTGGGGCTCTGAGCCCCTGTGAAATGTGTGCATGGGCTGAGGTGCAAGCCCAAATATAAAAAGGTTAAACTCTGAGGATGGTCCCCCGTGCTCTTTGCTGGGGGGTAGAACAGGGGACCGTGGCCAGAGCCGGCCTAACGGGACCGTCCAGGCAGCCAGTGCGTCCCCGTTCCGGGAGCCTGGTGGGTGAGCGGGCAGGAGGAAGGGGGAGTCCCCCGTTGTTGCTGAGCTGGTGGGTGGATCCCTGTTGGCAGCAGAGGGACAGACGTGAGCAAATGGGCCGGAAAGACAAGTGACAGTGGATGGAGCTTCCTTTTCTCTCTAATCCTCCCCCCACCCTCCGGGCCACGTGCCCAGCATTGCCTGCCAAGTGGCACCTCTTCTCTCGTCCTGGAGATGTGTGGTGATCTGACGGGTGCTCCGTGGAGGGGCTGCCCACGGACGTGTCCAGCCCGGGTCGCTCAGGCACCGCCTTCCCGCTGTGTTCAGGCCGATGCTTGGCTTTCTCTGAGAGTTTCCTGGCTGTCCCTCACAGGAGGCGGGCTCTTCATCCAGGCGCGCGCCTCTCCCCGGGGTCGCACGCTGCATTTGCTCCCGTCCGTCTCGTTCTGGGGCTTCCTCCCTCTGCACTCGGATGCCTGGGCTGCGCAGGAAGCCGGCTCTCAAGGCCTGGCTCCGACCAGCTGACCAACTCGCGCAGCACCGTGTCCTGCAGAGGCAGGAGCAGAGAGGACCGTGGGAGCACCACCGGGCCCGAGGAAGCACCGTGCCAGGTCCGGACCCGCCCGGGAGTCCGTGGAGAAGCCGAGCCCAGACCCAGGCGATCGGGGCCACTGTCCGGTTCTGCATCGGACTCTCTTGTCCCACTTCTGAAGTTGCCTCTCGATAAAATGTGATCGCTCCACCCCCATGCCCTCGGGGAGAGGAGACCAAAGCGTGCTGGCACCTCCGGGTGCTGGGAACCCCAGAGGCCTTCATCAGGCCGCTGGGTCACAGCGACCATCATGGGAGATGCTGTGGCTCCTTCCACGTGACAGACGAGGACCCGAGTTGGATGATGTGTGCAGAGCTGTACAGTTACGTGGCGGAGCTGGGGCCATCCTAACACCTGGGCAGCATGGAGGGGTGGCTATCCATGCACCCCCTCCCTCGCCTGTGCCCCCCTCTGGCCCGGCCCCTTCCTCCTTCCTCCGCTGCCCAGCTCTCACCTGGGTCGCTGACACCAGAGGATGCCCTGGGCCCGGGCGGTTCCGGACACCCCCTTCATGGGTCTTCTTGGTCTTTCAGGAACTTGGCCATTGGAATCGGGATCCAGAACTTCCCAGAGGGCCTGGCGGTCAGCCTCCCCTTGCGCGGGGCTGGCTTCTCCACCTGGAGGGCCTTCTGGTAAGTGCGTCCGAGCGCCCCGTCCCAGGCCGGGGTCACGGCCGCTACGGCCAAGGCAGAGCTCAGGGCCGTCCCCTGTGCCGCTTCTTTCTGCCAGGCGACCCCTCTGACCTGGAAGCGAATCGGGCACTTCTGGTAAAACCCGAGGACCTGGCGGAACCTCTGTGCATAGCCACGCCGTGCCCATGCGCGTGTCTGTTCTCCCTCAGGTACGGGCAGCTGAGCGGCATGGTGGAGCCCCTGGCCGGGCTCTTTGGGGCCTTTGCCGTGGTTCTGGCCGAGCCCCTCCTGCCTTACGCTCTGGCCTTCGCTGCTGGCGCCATGGTCTACGTGGTCATGGACGACATCATCCCCGAGGCGCAGATCAGGTGGGAGAGCTGCCCCCTCCCCCATCGGTCCCTGCCCCTCCTGCTCCTGCTCTTGTCCCTGCTCCTGTCTCTGCTCCTGCTCTTGTCCCTGTCCCTGCCCCTGCCCCTGCCCCTGCTCCTGTCCCTGCCCCTGTTCCTGTCCCTGCCCCTGCCCCTGTCCCTGCCCCTGCCCCTGTCCCTGTCCCTGCCCCTGCCCCTGCCCCTGTCCCTGTCCCTGTCCCTGCCCCTGTCTCTGTCCCTGCCCCTGTCCCTGCCCCTGCCCCTGCCCCTGTCCCTGCCCCTGTCCCTGCCCCTGTCCCTGTCCCTCCCCAGAACGGACCCAGACTCCTTTCTTTATTCCCACCCCTTCCTGTCCCTTCAAAGATCCTCCTCAGCCCCTCGCAGCCGTGCTGACACTGAAAGAAAGAGGAGTGACGGGCAGGTGGGTGGAGAGAGACCAGGGAGTATGAGTATCAGGCAGTGGCATGCACCCCCCCCCCCCAATGATACAGACTGTTATTTTTGAATTCTCCCTCCCTCCCTCCTTCCCGCCCTCTCATCCTCTTCCCTCCTCCCTCCCTCCCTCCCACCTTCCCTGGATGTTCCCGGGCCTGGAACGAGGAGGGAGGTGGGCTTTGTCAGCTGAAGCAATGCATCCATGGCCTCACTGTCTGGCTGTGGACCAGGCGCGAGGGGGCTTCCTCTTTTTGTTTCATTTTGGTTTTCATGGCGGAGTGGTTCTGAGGCTAGTTTATGGTCGGATTACGTAAGATCTCCAGGAGCTTCCTGCCACCACGCATTCCTCAAGCATGGATTCCAGACGTTCTTTAACGTCCCCGTGCCTCGGTTTCCCCGCCAGTGACACGGGAATGACGGCCCATGGCTGTCCTTGTGCGGACAGGAGTTGCTCTGATCGCCTGGCTCGGTGCAAGCCCGGGGCAGTGGCAGCTGTCAGGGTGGTTCCCATCGCTAATGGGGGGAGGTGGGGGCGTTCTCTGCCGGAGCGGGACCCTGCAGCCCGTGCTCCAGGGGGACAGTGTCCTGGGGGCACCGAGGCCTCACGTTTCTCCTTTCCTCCCTCCTAGTGGGAACGGGAAGCTGGCGTCCTGGACCTCCATCCTGGGGTTTGTGGTGATGATGTCACTGGACGTGGGCCTGGGCTAGCGCCGACCTGCTCCGACCCCAGGAGAGGCTGCGCGGGACCAGGCCCCCGCCTTCCCGCAGAACCTTCCGCTTTCTCTCCCTTTCACCTCCCCGCCCCGATCGATCCTGATCAGACGACGACGATTTGCGCTTTTCTTCCGAGGGAGGCACTGGTGTTATTTTTGGACTTTCAAGGGGTCAGTGGGACCACGGACTTCCGGTTGGCCTCTGAGTGGGACTGCAGCTCAGGGAAGTCGCTGCTCTCGGACCTCCAGCCGCTCTCACCAGACTCCAGGCCAGTCCCCAAGGTCACCTGCGGGAGCCAGCTACCCAGAGAGAAGGCTCTAAGCATGCGACTCGGAGCAGAACGGCCGGGGAATTGCGACAACTGTGAACACAGGGAGCCCGTGAAGAGAAGAGGCTGTAGCTTTGGTCGGAGAGCTGTGTTCCAAGTGCACTGTGGTTGCCGTGGTTTCCAGTCCCCATGACATTCATGTTGATCAGTTTATAGCCTTCGTTTTTCTAAGAGATTTGGGACACCCGCCAACCGCTAGAACTCTAGCCCTTTGCGTGTGGACAGGGCCACTTAAGCTAATTTGAGTGAAGGGAAGGCCTGTGGCCTCTGAGATGAGTCCTTCTCTGCTGGCCATTTGGTCACTGACCCAGAACTCCTGAGCTCGGTAAGCTTTGCTGGAGTGCGGCCGGAGCGCTTAGAACGAGAAAGGAAGGACAGGGGGAAAGGAGAGATTTTTTTTACATTTCCCTTTTAAAAGGAAGTGTTCAGCTAGTCATCACTCTGACATGACCCTAACCAATGACTTGAACTAGTCTAGGAGCAAGTCTGTTCCTCCGTACGCACAGCTTCTCCAACAGGGGTGAGGACGTGGCTGCCTCGGGTGCAGCGAGGGCCGCCGTCCTCATGGGTCACAGGAGCCCACAGGACCCTGGGGGACCCCTGCGGACACGGCAGGTGGCCCCGGAGCCTGGCGTCCAGGTGTCGTGTTGTCCACGCCTGCCCTGCCCTCTGTGTTTACATGTCCGATTGCTTCCGAGGGTGAAGGAATGCCCAGAGGCCAGCCTTCCCGGGGGCCAATCAATGTCTGTTCTTCCGAAGCCCCGATGATCAAAACTGAAGGCACGTCCAGAGGTCTGAGGGGTCGCGAGGACGTGCTCTGGTGGTTGGGGTGTGTGTGTTTTGGTGTCTTTGTATGGAGTTTTCTACACGATGCTTCTTTCTGATGGACAAGACCTCATAACTGTGATTCATACCAATAAAGCGGATACTGTTGTGGACAGCCGGCTGTGCTCAGTCCTTCTCAAAGCCGCCTCTTTCCAGGGTGGTTAGTGGAAGAGCCAACTAGAAAGTTAGTCCTGCCTGACCGATGTGGCTCAGTGGTTTAGCGTTGACCTATGAACCAGGAAGTCAGGGTTCGATTCCTGGGGTCAGGGCACATGCCCTTGTTGAGGGCTCGATCCCCAGTAAGGGGCATGCAGGAGGCAGCCAATCAATGATTCTCTCTCACCACTGATGTTTCTCTCTCTCTCTCTCTCTCTCTCTCTCTCTCTCTCTCTCTCTCTCTCTCCCTCCCTCCCTCCCTCCCTCCCTCCTCTCTGAAATCAACAAAAATATATTTTAAAAATAAAATAAAAAGTTAGTCCTGACATCTTCCCTGCCTGGCACAAGCAAAAGCGAAGGAAAGCGCTCAGATGACCAAGGCGAGTTGGGTCCTGGCTGCGTTACAGTATCCGTCAGACGCCAGCAGACGCAGACAAGGGAGTCCGTGGAAGGCTAGGGGAGCTCCCAGGACCCACAGGGGAGCCAGGCTTGAAAATTGATTCCATCCAAGAAAGCTAGAGGACTGGGGTCACCATGGCCCCATCACATCTCAAACTCAGCCTGGTTCGGTTGCCACGGCTCCCCCCCCCCCCCCCCGTGCTGGTCCCCAGATGCTAAAGACGGGCACCCCTCAAAGAAGGGCAGCCCTGAGCACGCCCTCCACCCCCATGTGAATGAACTCCACACTGACCACCTCTCACACCTCCTTCCACCCTCCTCCACTTCGATGCCATTAACCCCACTTGCCTGGGGAGGAAGGAGGGGGCCCGGAAGTCTTACCTGCCCAGGTGGCCATAGCCAGCGGCAGGGGCGGCTCTGCTTTGCCCAGGATGTAGGAACTGGCTTCCATCCTCCTCCCCAGAGCTTTCCCGGGCAGCGCCCTGCCACCCTGCCACCCCTCCACCCCCAAGAAATGTGGGTGGAGGTCGGGAGCACAGGGACCAGGGCTGTCCCTTTCCCCTTTGGCATTGCCACCTGACCACGTGTAACAATCACAGATTCTAAGCCTGTAGAGTGCCACTCATTTTTGCCCACTCTCCCCTCTCATGTGGGTCTTCCCCCAACCCCCACCCCACCCTGCCCTGGCCACACACCCTGAGCCCAGCCACCTGGCCCGCAGGTGTGATCCACTGCCTGGCTGGAGGGGGGGAAGGGAGGAGGGGGAGGGGGTACCTGGTACCTAGGCCAGGTGAGGCGGGACTGCCTGCGCCTGCGCGCATTCCTGGTGGAGGGAGCCTCTTAGAACCCAGGAGGGTCCTGGGCGGGGCGGGGCCGGGCGGGACACGCAGCTGCGCCCTGAGCTTTGCCCGCATCCTCCCCCCATCATCCTCCGTGACCCCCTTGGGTAAGGTCAGGCCCGCCCGCCGCCGCCAAAGGACCCTGGCTTTCCGGGGCTCCCAGCCGCCCCTCCGAGGCCGAGGCCGGCTTTGGGGGATGTGAAGTGAAGGATTTCAGGAGCGCTCTTTGGGGGAAAAAACCACAAAATTAGGCTCAGTGCTTTGGAAGGGGCGAGCATTCAGGTAAGTTCCAGAGGCGGGGCGGCTCCTCCACCGCTTCCCGCGTCCTCTGCGGTGAATGCACTTTGCGGGGGGTCATCCTCCTAAAGGCGCAGCCGGCGCTGCGAGAAGCGGGGAGGCGGGCAGGGTGTCTGGAGGAGGTGGCGCTCCAGCGGGGAGAGCAGCCTGGGGGCTGCAGCCCCTCCTCCCGGCGGGATGCGGGGGGAGGCTGGCCCCGCCCCCTCCACCTCCTTCGCCCCCCCCCCCCCACCTCGCCAATGAGAGCTGTGGCCAGCAATGCCCGGAATCTGTCCCACCCTCTTCCCTTCTATGTCCCACCTTTTTTTTTGTTTTTAATATTTTTTTATTGATTTCAGAGAGGAAGGGAGGAGAGAGAGATCGAAACATCAATGGTGAGAATCACTGATCAGCTGCCTCCTGCACTGCCCCACACTGGGGATCGAGCCCGCCACCTGGACGTGTGCCCCGACCGGGAATCCAACCATGTCCTCCTGGTTTACAGGTTGATGCTCAACCACTGAGCCACCGGCTGGACCCAAGAATTTTTAAAAAATACACCTCTGTATTCAAAAGTTGTATAATCGCCTTGTGTGTGAAAAACAACAGCACAAATCTCATAGGTCAAAGTCAAGGCTCACCTCTCTGGCTCTGGGACGGAACCTTGAATGTGAGGGAGGTGTTTCAGGTCGTGTGGCGGAGATGAGGACAGATAACGCCCTGGAAACAAAAGGTTCCTGAGCCATGTCGTCCCCTTCCTGGGCGCTGGCTCCTCACCCAGTAAGTTTCGTCCATTTGGGAGGAGGGCTGAGGCAGGGGTGTGTGTGTGTGTTTAATGTAGAATCCTTAGCAAATGTGAAATCTTGGCAAACCTGTCAGGTTGGCAGGTGCTGAAGGTAAAACCCTCTTTTCCCAAGCTGATGCCAGTTTCCCATCATCGCCCTCACAGCTCCCTCTGGCAGCCGCCTCTCTGAGCCCCCTGTGGGTCCAGGCCCCGGACACAGCGACAGTCTGGCTGGGTGACACAGCCATGGAGGTTACAGGGCAGGTCAGGGTTAGATCTTTGCCTCCGTGGGTTCTGTCCTCCTGAATATTCACCTCCCAGCCGTGAAAGATAAGGTGCCAGTGGGTGGAAGGTTTGGGTTGGGGTCAGAGGGGCAGCTGAGGGAGAAGGGGAGAAGGAAGTGAACGGGGATGCAGGCTGGCACTGTCGGCACCCAGATGGCCAGATGGCACGGCTTTGGGAAAAGGCAGGATGAGATTAGGCCCCGTCGATGCACGGCCCTGACTCTGTGTCTCTGTAGAGATGACAACGCCGATAGCAGGGCGGATTGCGATCAGCCTTGGCAGGGGAGTGCCGAGCAGGGCTTTGTGGTTTGGTAAAGTGCGGCAGACAAGTAGGGCACAGGCTCCCCGGGAAACACGCCCTTCCCTGCCAGGGCTGCCAACACCACCCATGCCCAGGCTCCTCCCAGCACCAGCTCAGATTCCATTTTCTCCTCCGTTTCCTGGTCTGGGAGGCTGGTCCCACCCGTTTGGCCCCTGTGTTTATCACCCATAAACACCTGATGCTTTTTGCTGGGCCGTTGACTTCCTGGGTTGCCCATGTCTCATGCATTGGTCATCACTGATCTTCACAGAGAGTCTGATCTTCACATAGGTACAGAGAGGGATCGCGCCAGCCCAGGATGGTAGGTGCTCACTGATTTGAGAAGGAACTCAGACCATGCCAAGCCGACGGGAAGATAACACTCATGCACTCAGATGGGACTGTTAGGATTTAGGGATCGAACTGGTTATTGCTGATATCAATGATTCTCTCCCATCATTGATGTTTCTATCTTTCTCTCCCTCTCTCTTCCTCTCTGAAATCAATAAAAACAAATTTTAATATATATATTCTTGAAATACCAAGAGGAAAAGCCTCAATGGATGGCATTTGCTTGAGCAACGCACCAGTTAATAATCCTCTCCTGTGAGGAGAATGGAAGCGTCCTCGTTGGAAATGCTTCACCTGGGAGGACTGGGGATTCAGAGTGATGGATGCCAGCCAGCCTGCTCTGCTTCTGCTCCAGGAGCTTCTGGGACAGTCTTCTCTTGAACCATCCCTACAGCGTTGATCGCGGTTTGCCCCGAGTTTAGGAACTGGCCCCGGTCCCCGATGTCCATCATGACAAACCTGGTACCACGGCACAAGTTCACGGGGAGTCAGTGTCACGCAAGCCACCCTGGAATCCTACCCAAAATGGTGAGTGGTTTACTCTCTGGCTCCGGCAGGCGCTTACTCACCTTTTTTACTGTCTGGTTTAAAAAAAAAAAAAAAGCAAAACCACATCTATGTTAAAAGTAAGGCCAGATATGATCGCTGGCGTTATGATGCAGGCATTTATTTCTGTTCCACTTTTTGTTGTGGAGGATTTCGGACCCGCACTCACGTAAATGGAATGGAGGCGTGAACCCCCATGTGCGCATCACCCAGTTCCAACAGTCCCCAACCCCTGCCAACCTGGCCCTCTCACCTCCCTCTTCCGCATTATTATTTTTTGGGAAAAACCAACACATCATCTTATTCATAAACAGGCCAGTACATATCTCAAAAAGGAAAAGACATTTTTACACCAAGAAAAAATAAAAGCGGCATCATGTAATTTACTTTAAATATCGCATGCAACTCATTCCTTCCCTTTAAAGTGAGCCATGGCCTTCGGTGAAAAAAAGATACCATCTTACCTGATATTCTTCAGCTCAAATATCCTGCATTACTAAGGGAATTTGTACTTTTCTCGAAGCTCATTCCTTAGCTCATTTCATTCCCACGAAGAAGCCTGTGGGGTGAGCACAGGGAGGGAGATCCAGGGAGTGAGATGGAATCGGCAGGAATCAGAGCTGTGAATGTGCTTGTACCCATGGCCGAGGCAGAGGGTGCCAGCGACCCCACCCCAGAGGGACAGCAGATCTGAACCTGCTCGTCTCTCCTGTCCCCTCCTCTGTGCTGAGTGCTGGGGCCCCTCTGGGAGTGTGTGGTCTGGAGGAAACGCTCGTCTGCTCCTGTCTGGGTGCCTGGCGGTCCTGTCAGTGGAGGCGGGAAGGGAGGGGGGTGACCGGACAGAACAGGGCAGCCAGGAATGGTTCGCAGGACTTGTTAAGAAATACACGGGATGCCCGGCTGGTGTGGCTCAGTGGTTGAGCATCAACCTATGAACCCAGAGGTCACAGTTCGATTCCCAGTCAGGGCACATGCCCAGGTTGCAGGCTTGATCCCCAGTGTGGGGTGTGCAGGAGGCAGCTGACCTATGATTCTCCCTCATCATTGATGTTTCTCTCTCTCCACCCCCCCACCTCACTTCCTCTCTGAAATCAGTAAAAATATATTTTAAAAAAACGCACATGATAACATGGCAGCATTCACAGAGACCACTTCTGGTTCTCCTAGGACACACTCCCCAAACTCCCAGGGAGCCTGCCGCCTCGCTGGCTGCAGAGGATGGTGTCACACCTCTGTGGTTGGTGCTGCATTTGTAACAAATCTCCTTTGGGAGTTTCTGCTTCCAGCCCGCCTCTTCCCAGGCGGGGCTCCGGCCTCTGAGCGACGGGCCGTGAACCGGGGCGCGCCCTGCACACGTGCGCATCATGTTTGCCCAAGTAGCCGGAAGAGCCCAGTGCCGCCGTGAGAAATGATTTAAAAAAAAAAAAAAAAAAGCAGCTCTCGGGCCGATTTGAAGCAAGTATGTGTCAGATTTTCAGGGGCACCTTCTCTGGCTCAGGTTGGCTTTTCGGAATGAGAGCCCAGTGTCCCCCTCCCCTGCCCCCCCTCTCCCCGGGTCCCCACCCTGGGTTAGAGGAGGTTGACGGACACTTTGCGTGTCAGCGAGCGCTGCCTGCGCGGAGCCTGGGGCTGGGCTGGGGAATGTGGATCATGACTTGCATTGTGTGTATCAAGGGCCCTGACAAGTGCTGATGGATTTGGCTTCCCTGCTGATCCCCAGCTCTGGGCGGGGACAAGGAGAGCATTGTTTGGCGGGGCAGGCCCCTGCCTGTGAAGCCACTCATTTGCCTGATGGTGGAGACAGGTGTATCACACACTCGGCGTGCCGGAGCGGTGCCGGGCGATTAAGATCTTGGCTGTGTTCCCCAGGGCCCGGCGGAGAGAGGCAGATGTGCAGAGAGGGGCGGCCGTGGTCGCTCTTCTTCCCCCCGAGCCTGTGCCCTGACTTTGCTTGCTCTTCTGCAGGCGCTCTGCTCCTGAAAACAGCGTTGTGTTAGGGATGGCGGGCTGGGTCCTGTCCTGACTACTTACCCTTTTGAGCTTGGGGAGTGGCGGGGGACTGGGCATCCTCACCAGGGAAGGCCAATTTGGACATTGTTGAGCCAAGGCTGACAGAGCACCTCCTGGCTGAGCTCCACGCAGGCACCTGGGGGGACCATTTCACTTCTCCCAGCCTGACCCACCCAGCAGGGGGCATTTCCCTAGTACCTTCTGGGTTGTTGCCGTAAGTGCGCCAATCCATTTTTGTCATTTTTTTTAATTAAAATTTTGTTTTTGTTAAATACCAGATAAATAAAGCTTCATAAATCGAACCACATGATAACATTTTTAATGAAATTAAGCATACTCTGTCCTTCTGTTCTTCAACTGTGGATCCCTTGCAGCCCCGTGAATTATGTTCCTATCTGGAATGAGTTAAATGGTGTTCCCCCAAAATTCAGGTCCTTCGAATGTGACCTTATAGGGTCTTTGCAGATGTCCCTAAGGTAGGATCGAGATGAGGTCAGATTGGATTAGACTGGGCCCTGCTCCAATGAGCGTGTCCATATAACAGACAGAACGGAGCACACAGAGCCACAAGGCCATGTGGATGAAGATGGGGGCTGAGATTGGGGTGATGCTGCCACAAGGCAAGAAACGTCAGGAGCCACCAGAAGCTGAAAGAGGCAAGGAAGGGTTCTTCCCTAGAGCCTTGGGGAGAAATGCATCCCTCCTGAGACCTTGCTTTCAGATTTCCAGCCCCCAGGCTATGAAAGAATCAGTTCCTGTTGTTTTAACTCACCAAGTTTGTGGCCATTAGTGCTGGTGGCCCTTGCAAACGAATACACTATCCAAGGCTGAAAGGTTAAGGGGGCAGGTGCATCCCTCCCTTTTGTCAGGAAAGAGAAAGATTTACGAGAAGCACCTTGGCCAACTTCCTGTAACATCTCATTCATTGGTAAGGAATCTGTATATGGCCAATCCTAGCTGCAAGGGAGTCTGGCAAGACTAGAGTGGAATTTTATTTTTCCAAATGTGGCAGTTCTGAGTTTTGATGACACGCTGCATGCTCTGGTTGTAAAAATGACCAGGACACACCAAGAATTCAGTTCCGTCTTCTCCTTTTCCTGTGACCCCCTTTCTCCTTGTTCTCCCTGACTCTCTAACTGCCTCCATCCTATGTGTAACTCAAAGGCATGTCATGAATGTTAAATAAGAAAATATGAATCAAACTCACCCAGCATATAGTTTGTGCTCAATACAGGTAAACAGCAAGGAGGCTTAGAAAGGTAAAATTGGATATATATTTAAAAAAAGAAAGTTGCAAAAGACTCACTGATTCCTGAAAAATATGAGAACTATGCAGCCTTAGAGTTGTTTAAGAATTGAATAAACAGTCACGTATCTCAGGTGAGTAAATGTTGCTCTCCCGAAGGCCGGGTCAAGACTTGGACCAATACTTCTCATACGTGATGTGCATTTTTTAAAAAAACACACCATAGAATTGACCAAATGCAGATTCCCATGCCCACCCTGGCTCACTGACTGGGCAGGGCCTGTGACTCTGCCTTTTCATAAGCCCCACCAAGGTGGTCCATCCCCTTCCCATTTGTGACCAGATTCCTGACATTCTTTCTAGTCCCAAGATGTTGAGATCCACCCGGCTGGTGTGGCTCAGCAGTTGAGCATTGACCCATGAACCAAGAGGTCCCTGGGTTCGATTCCTGGTCAGGACACATGCCCAGGTCTCAGGCTCAATCCCCAGTAGGGGGCGTGCAGGAGGCAGCCGATCAATGATTTTCTATCATCATTGATGTTTCTCTCTCTCTCCCTCTCCCTTCCTCTCTCTTTCTAAAAATCAATAGAACATATTTTTTAAAAAAGAGATTCTGAGATCCTGCAAGAGCTGCCCAAATTGATTTCCAGATACTTTTTGGAAGAATCAGGATAAAGCTCTCTATTCCCCGATTTCTGGTTTGGGATTCGGCATCACAGGCCTCCAGTCTCCGAGGAACTTCCTACACAGGGCGCGAGCTTCTTGTTGTGTTTCCGGGCTGCCTGGGGCTGGTGGCAGAGCGTTGCTTGCTTATGGCAGGCTGGGTGGGAAGGACCGCGGCATCCCTGGTCCGTTATTACGTGTCCCCATAACCCCCGTGGGCGCGCGCACACACACAGGCACAGCCACCTGCTGAAAGGGAAGGCCTGGAAGCTTCTGCCGGGGCATCCGTACCTGCCTTCCGAGCACACAGCCCCGGGGGCCTGGGGGATTGAGCTGGGTGGAGAGAGAGGGGGACGCCATCCCCTCTTCGCGTTCCGACAGTGATCATTTCCCCGCCTCGCCCTGTCCAGAGGTGAAAGTGTTCCCTGGTGACTGTGGATTCCTCCATCTCTCCACTGCCCTTCTGTTTCATCCAGTCTCTGTGTATCACACCACACATCCTCTCAGACACCTGTCTCCCTCTCTGTGACCGTCTCTTAGATGTTCTCTAATGTAAATAAGACACGAACGGAGGAGGCGCCAGGTAAGTGCTGGCCCTCATGCACTGTTTTACACCAGCGGGCACACCTCTCGCTGACCTCGCTCTCACACGGGCTCCGTCCTCCTGGCCTGGTCCGCCCACCGCCCCACCTCCCTCTCTCACTCCCGCTCTCCGCCATTCCCGGCGCTGCAGGGTCTGGGCTGTTTTATTGCCAGCCCATTTCCCGGCTGCACAAAGGGGGCCTTTGTAACAGGTCCTTCCAGATGCCGAGCATTTGGAAAAACACTCCGATCAGAAGGTGTTTGTCCTCCTGATGCCCTCGGAAGAGGAAAGAATCCAGGACAGGGATTCGGGAGTGGCAGCTCCAGCCCTCAGAGCTGGGACCCTCCGAGGGCAGCGGGGGAGATCATGGGTGCTTCGTAGCATCTTCTCCCCGTCATCACCGATCGGTCCCAGTCAGTTCACTCGCCAGTTAACTGAGGTGCCAGCCGGGGTCCCCATTCCCTGCCCCTCTCCCGTGTGTGTGTGTGTGTGTGTGTGTGTGTGTGTGTGTGTGTGTGTACCTTCCAGCTGACAGAGCTTGGTCGCAGTCCCCACTAATTTGACTCAGCAATCCCGTGAAAAACGCCAAGTAACCAGTAATGCTGCGGTTCTCAACCTGTGGGTCGCGACCCCTTTGGCCGTCGAACGACCCTTTCACAGGGGTCGCCTAAGACCATCCTGCATATCAGATATTTACATGACGATTCATCACAGTCGCAACATGACAGTTATGAAGTAGCAACGGAAACAATTTTATGGTTGGGTCACCACATGAGGAACTGTATTTAAAGGGCCAGAAGGTTGAGAACCACTGCTGTAATGCATCTGCTGGCTCTAGGGGGCTCCCTTGCTCACCTTCGCAGTGATCTCTGGGAAGTCAGGGATCATTCATAAACGGGGCAATTGAGGCCCAGAGATGTCGGACAGCTTGGCCCAGGTCACGCAGCGAGTGAGTCTGCGTCTGGCTCGGGCGCATCGGGCCTTCCCTGAAGGCCCAGAGTCACAGGAGGGCGGGCGGCTCGGGCCTGGGTGCAGGCCACCTCGGCTCAGAAAGCAGCGCATGCCGTGCGTAGGCGTGTGGGTGGGCTCCGTCTGCGCGTGCGTCTCGGTTTGTCTCTCATTTAGGTCTCAACCTCCGTATGCCTTCGTTTCCTTCCTCATCTATAACATGGAGGTGGATGGCACCCTCCGGGATTCTTAGGGGGAAGCGCTTAAAACAGCGCCTGACGCCAGGTGTGATTCGTGGTGGTTACATGAAGGAGTTGCACGTGCTGGTTTGTGTACATCCGCGGTTACGCGGTCAGTTGGCCTGAGTTGGAGCGGATGCTGGTCTGCGTTCATTCCGCCGATCAGGCACCTGCTCTGAGCCAGGCGCAGGGCTCACGCGGCTCCGTGGAAAGAAGCCGGTGAGTTATGTGGCCTGACGCCGCTTATTGGTTTATGAGGAAGGCGGTGTAATGCAGCAGTGTTGTTATAAAGACACTTTCACTGAGTATCGCGGACGGTGGATGGAAGGGTTGGGAGAGGCTCCCCCGGGGAGGAGTTTCACTCCGTGGCCCGAGCCCCCCTCCGGGTGCGGGACTCAGTGTGGTCCCCCCGCCGGTCTGCGACAATGGCCGTGGATTCTGCCTGGGCCTTGAGTGGGCGTGATCCTAGTGGGGAGGCGCTGGCCGTGGAGTTCAATAATTAATGTGCCACCATTAAGC